CACCCCAATACACCACGTATACACCCCAAAATATCCCAAAACACCCCAATATACCCCTTATGTACCCCAATATATCCCTTATGTACCCCAATATACCCCTTATGTACCCCCTGTACACCCCAAAACACCCCCTGTACACCCCAATATACCCCACGTACACCCCAATGCACCCCACATACATCCCTTATACATCCCCTGTACACCCCAAAACACCCCGTGTACACCCCAATACACCCCAATATACCCCTTATACACCTCTGTACAGTCCAAAACACCCCATGTACACCCCAAAACACCCCAATGCACCACATATACACCCCAAAGCACCACATATACACCCCAAAACACCCCAATATACCCCCTGTACACCCCAAAACACCCCATATACATCCCAATATACCCCTTATGTACCCCAATATACCCCTTATACACCCCCTGTACACCCCAAAATACCCCATGTACACCCCAAAACACCCCAATACACAACCTATATATACACCATGTGTACACCCCAAAACACCCCCTGTACACCCCAAAAAACCCCGTGTACACCCCAGTACACCCCAATATACCCCTTATGTACCCCAATATACCCCTTATACACCACGTGTACACCTCAAAACACCCCATGTACACCCAAATATACCCCATGTACACCCCAAAACACCCCAATATACCCCTTATGTACCCCAATATATCCCATGTACACCCCAACACACCCCATATACATCCCAATATACCCCTTATGTACCCCAGTATACCCCAGTATACACCCCAATATACCCCATATACACCCTTATGTACCCCATATATACCCCAATCCACCCCATATACATCCCAGTCCACCTCTTATGTACCCCAATAAACCCCATGTACACCCCAATACATCCCAATATACCCCAATACAACCCAATACACCCCATATTCACCCCAAACGCACCCCATACACACCCCATATACCAAATACACCCCATACACACCCCATGTACCCCATTGTACACCCCAAGGTACCCCCTTATATACCCCAATACACCCCATATACATCCTTTATATACCCCAATATACCCCAATACACCCCAACACATCCCAATATACCCCAATACACCCCAATATACCCCATCTACACCCCTTATATATGTCAATACACCCCAATATAACCCAGTACACCCCAATACAACCCACATACACCCCTTATGTACCCCAATAAACCCCATGTACACCCCAGTATACCCCATATACCTCCCTTATATACCTCAATACACCCCAATATACCCCCTATACATCCCAATATACCCCATCTACACCCCTTATATATGTCAATACACCCCAATACACCCCATATACACCCCAATATACCTCAATACACCCCAATACTCCCCAATATGCCCCTTATGTACACATACACACCCCATATAAACCCCAATACACCCCATGCACACTGCAATACACCCCATATACACCCCAATATACCCCAATACACCCCTTATTTGCCCCAATACACCCCATATACAGCCCAATACACCCCATATATACACCCTGAAAATTCAGTGAAACCCCCCTCTGTGTTTTCTGTCCCCCCTCCCCAAACCTGTGGCCGGTGCTGGTTTGTAACCAGGTGTCGTCGACCGGGGGTGGCACCGGCGTGGAGACGGTGCTGGTGCTGATGTCCCCGATGATGCTCAGCGCCTCCTTGAGCGCGTGGTACATGCGCAGCATCTCGTCCCGGCGCTGCGCCTGCTCCGCCGACTCCTCCATCAGGCTGCCCTGGTCGGCCGAGGAGTACAGGTAGGCCAGCAGCTCCGAGTGGATGAAATCCTTGGTCTGGGGGGGGAAACGGGGGGGAAAATCGGATTCGTCGTGTGAAAAAATGGGGGGGTTGGGGGTTTAATGTGGAATTTGTTTAAGTTGTTCATTTGAAATTCTAAATTTCAAGTTCTTGATTTAAAATTGAGAATTCGAAGAATTTAAATGGAGAATTTCAAACTAAGACTTTAAAATCAAGGCTTTAAACTTAGATATTAAAATCAAGATTTTAAAATCAGTTTATATCAAGAATTTAAATCAAGAACTTAAAGTAAAAAAAATAATTAAAATAAAGAATTTAATTCAAGAATTTAAAGTAAAAAAAATAATTAAAACAAAGAATTTAAATCAAGAATTTAAATTGAGAATTTAAACCTAAGAATTTAAATTGGGAATGTACAACTAAGAATTTAAATTGAGAATTTAAAATCAAGAATTTAAATCCAGAATTTAAAATTAATTTAAAATTAAGAATTCAAAATCAAGAATCTAAAATCAAGACTTTAAACCGAGAATTAAAACCAAGAATTTAAATCAAGGTTTTAAAAGCCTTCATTTAAAATTAAGAATTAAAATCAACTTAAATAAAAAATTTAAAATCAAGACTTTAAATTGATAATTTAAAACCAATAGTTTAAAATAATTAAAATTCTTAATTTAAAATTCATTTAAACTTCAGAATTTAAATGAAGAAATGAAAATTCCTCATTTAAACAAAGAATTTTAAATTCTTCCTTTAAAATGAAGACTTTAAAGGAAGAATTTTAATTTTTTCCTTTAAAATGAAGACTTTAAAGGAAGAATTTGAAAATTCTTCCTTTAATACTAAGAATTTAAATGAAGAAACGAAAATTCCTCGTTCAAATGAAGAATTTAAACGCAAATTTTAAAATTCTTCCTTTAAAATGAAGAATTTAAATGAGAAATGGAAAATTCTTTGTTTAAATCAGGAATTCAAATCAAGAATTTAACATTTTCCGTTGAAAATGAAGTATTTAAACATTAAAAACCAAGTTAAATTTGCAATGTCATTGTGTCTGACGCCGCCGAAGGTCCCAGATCCCCCCGGGGCCGCTCACGTTGTTGATCATGAGGTGCATGATGGTCTTTGGCATGAGGTCGCGGATGGATTTGTTGATGATGCCCACGTAGGAGTCCACCAGGTTGCGAATCGTCTCCACCTGCCGCTCCAGCTGCGGGTCCATGGAGAAGGTGTTTTCCTGGGCGCCGTCCTCCGCCTCCGTCTGTGCCGGGAGAAACAAATTAACGCCGAGAAAATCTGAATTTCTGGGCCTTTCCACCCATTTTCACGTTTTGAATTAAAAATTACTTATTTTATAGTCGGGGATGATGAAATCCGTTGAATTTCAAACAAATTAACGCCAAGAAAATCCAAATTTCTGGGCCCTTTTGTTTTTTTGAATTAAAAATTACTTATTTTATAGTCGGGGATGATGAAATCAATTGGATTTATCCAAATTTCTGGGCCTTTCCACCCATTTTCACGTTTTGAATTAAAAATTGTTTGTTTTATAGTCGGGGATGATGAAATCCGTCGGATTTCAAACAAATTAACGCCGAGAAAATCTGAATTTCTGGGCCTTTCCACCCGTTTTGATCATTTTTTGAACTAAAATTGTTTATTTTATAGTCGGGGATGATGAAATCCATTGGATTTAAACCAACTTAACGCCAAGAAAATCCAAATTTCTGGGCCTTTTTGGTTTTTTGAGTAAAAAAATTATTTATTTTATAGTCGGGGATGATGAAATCCGTTGGATTTATCCAAATTTCTGGGCCTTTCCACCCATTTTCATGTTTTGAATTAAAAATTGTTTGTTTTATAGTCAGGGATGATGAAATCCATTGGATTTCAACCAAACTAATGCTGAGGAAATCCGAATTTCTGGGCCTTTCCGCCTGTTTTGATCATTTTTTTTAATTAAAATTGTTTATTTTATAGTCCAGGATAATGAAATCCACTGGATTCCGAACAAATTAACAAATGAATTAGGAAATTTGGCCTTTTTAAGGGATTCTGGGGCATTTTCCAGGGTGAAAACCCTCAGTGACTGAGACCGAAGGCTCAGGCGGGGCCTGGGGGGTTCAAGCAAGGCCTCAGGGTTTTGGGCAGGGTCTGGGGGTCTCGGGCAAGGCCCAGGGGGGTCTTTACTTGGTCTTTCTCTGGGTAGACGCCGGCGCGGAGGAAGGAGGCCTTCCAGCTGTCCACGTCCTCCTGCGAGTCGCAGGCCAGCTCAATCTGCCGCAGGTCCTTGTAGACGTTCCTGGGGGGGACACGGAGCGAGACTGGGAGCACTGGGAGGACTGGGAGCACTGGGAAGAATGGGAAGACTGGGAGAAACTGGGAGCACTGCGAAAACTGGGAGAAACTGGGAGAAACTGGGAGCACTGGGAGGGACTGGGAAAACTAGGAGTCACCAAGGCCTCCAGCACCCGAAAAAACCAGGCCCAAATTCCCCCCAAAAGCAGCACCCCCCACAGGGATGGGGTTTTGGAGGGAAATTATGGCGGGAAATTATGGCGGGAAATAATGGCGGGACGTTTTGGGGGTGCCCCCCTCACCTCTGCTCAGTGTTGAAGATGGCGAAGACGTGCTTGGTGGACATGAAGCCCTTCTCCACGTCCCGGATTTTCAGGTTGTCCAGGGGTAACATGTACTTCTTCTCCTTCTCCTGCGGGAGAGGGGGGGACACCCCAAAAATTAATCCTTGAGCCCCCAAGAATCCCTCCTTAAACCCCCAAAAAATCCCTCCTTAAATCCCAAAAAATCCCTCCCTAATTCCCCAAAAATCCCTCCTTAAACCCCCCAAAATTCCTCAAACCCCAAAAATCCCTCCCTAAATACCCAAAAATCCCTCCTTAAATCCCCAAAAATCCCTCCTTAAACCCCCAAAATTTCTTCCTTGAACCCTCAAAATCCCTCCCTAAATCCCCCCAAAATCCCACCTTAAATCCCCCAAAAATCCCTCCTTAAACCCCCCAAAATTCCTCCTTAAATCCCCCCAAATTCCTCCTTAAATCCCCCAAAATTCCTCCTTAAACTCCCCAAAATTCCTCAAACCCCAAAAATCCCTCCCTAAATACCCAAAAATTCCTCCTTAAACCCCAAAAATGCTCCTCCTTAAACCCCCAAAATTCCTCCTTAAACCCCTAAAATCCCTCCTTAAACCACCAAAAATCCTCCTTAAACCCCTAAAATCCCTCCTTAAACCACCAAAAATCCCTCATTAAACCACCAAAATCCCTCCTTAAACCACCCAAAAATGCCTCTTTTGACCCCCAAAATCCCTCCCTAAATACCCCAAA